AAATGTGATTTAATTATTACTGTGAGTTTTTGCCACAGAATATCATGCATTGTTTTGAAATGCCTGGCTGTGGTTGTTACTTTAACATTTTTTTTAGTCTGTAGTATGATAGTGTTAGATGTTCCTCATCCTCGCTTTCTGTTGTCACTCAGACAAGTCAAAGCCAACATATCTCTGCAAATTTTAAATAACATTCTCATTAACCTTTTGTGTAAAGTTTATAACACATTTACAGTAAGGCTCAGTTGATTTATTTTTTTATGAGTTCCTAGGCATAGCATGGGGTTTTTTGTACTTCAGTACGTGCCAAAAATGATGAGGGTCACGTGGCTCCGGCAAGTCTTGTCTCATCCCTGTTCTTGCTGCAGTCTTGGAGTCTGGGACTTTTTATCAAACACATTTGTAAAATCCATTAGGCAGGGGACGTGTTCCCGCAGGGGGTGCAGCCGGACGCTCGTTCCTCGGCTCCTGCTCCCAGCCGAGAGGGTGAGCGCCGGCTCTGGCCTGGAAGCTGGCCAGCCACATGAGCCCAGCACCGTGCCCAAGGTCCTATCCCACCCCCAGAGGGGCCAAAACACAGCACAATCTGGGATTACGGTCTGCTCCTGGCCCTGTGGTCATTCCCCTAGGAGTAAATTTCTTAGACTCAGGGAGGAAAACATGAGAGAAGTGGGTTCCCCACCTGCCTCTTCCCCACCGTGCAAACACACGAAGGGTCACTCAGCTCTTGTGCCTGCCTGAGTTTTACACCTTAAGCATTGGGTTGCTGAGATCCACCTGCACAGTAAGCTATGGGGAACGATGCTGTTTATCTGTGCATCTCCTCAGCTGTGAGCCCTGGAAGAGCAGGAGCCGACCGTGCAGAGGAGCACTGCCTTCTTGGGGTGGCTGGTGTCACGTCTGCTTGGTGCAGCCCGCACAGACAGGCTAAGCCTGCCACTGCACACAAGACTGAGAGAGCTGGGGTTGTTCAGCCTGGAGAAGAGAAGGCTCTGGGGAGACCTCATAGCAACCTTCCAATGTCTGAAGGGAGCCTTCAGGAGAGATGGGGAGGGACTCTTTGTCAGGAAGTGTAGTGACAGGACAAGGGGTAATGGTTTTAAATTGGAAGAGGGGAGATTTAGATTAGATATTAGGAAGAAATTCTTTAGTGTGAGGCAGCCTGACAGAGGGGCTGCTGAGCCCACACGGACAGGGTGGAGTCACTCATCTCTTTGAAATCACAATTTGCTCTTTGTTTCGTATGCTTTCCAGATGTCACCTGCTGGCTTCAGGGGGAAGGGAAAAATTAATGTGAAGAAACTATTTTAGTAATTTGTCTGGAAAGCCAGGTGCTTCTCCAGCAGCTCGAACCACTTTTAAATTAGAACTTCAGTCGAAAGAGAGCTGGGGTTTCACCATGGGCAGCTGTAACACAGCAAGCAGCTACCAAGGTGTCTCCGGAGGGACTGGTTTGTCCTGGGGCAGAAGCCCAAACCAGTTGCTCCCCTCTCTGCCCATCAGCTCCCTACGAGACCAAACTCACTTTGTCAGGGAGCATGGCCCCGAGCCCAGCCCTGCCCTCCCGTCTGTGGCTGCAGTTGGGTATGGGGGGCCACCAAGCTCTCCTCTTTCTGTCCCTGCTTTTGTCTCATGCTTAGATTGCCCCCGTTTCATACTACGGTGCAAACTGGTTATCATGTTTGGGGTGACAGCACACTGTCTTCTCCATATGAACTACGTCCCCTAGAGAAAGCTGTGTCTGCTGGTTCGTCCCTTCGAAGGGGGGTAAACTTTGAGACGGCAGTTGTGACATTTAAGTTCACTTTAATGTAACATGTTAGAGCCTGTCTGTATAATTTCTTTCTTGCATTTGATCTCTGCCTCCTGTCCCCCAAGCCAAACCACTTTTGCCGTTATCTAAGAGCTCCCTGTTGATGAAACCGAATGAGGAAAATGCAACATGTTTTAGTATACTCTTAGCATAATAAGCTTTTTATGAGGAAATAAGAGATAAAAGCCTTATTGAGTAGAAAGGGCAAAACAGATCATAAACATTAAATAGAAATGTACCTTTAAAAAACCTGGAACCTTTAGAAAACATGGAAAAAACATGCCTGTGTAATGCGAAGAAAAGTCATAATTTCCCCTATTAACACACACTAAAACAGAGCTAAATGATTGCACTGCATCTTGGTGAGTCTGTTTTTTGGAAGGTGAGTCTCATGCTGCTTGATGAGACGTTGCTAAGCAGTCTCCTATATTCATTAGTTATGTAAATAGGGATGTAAAATAGACCCTTTCTTGCCAGTGCCTAAAGAAACAGAGCTTGGACCCTGGCAATAAATAAATTAATCCCAGTGCTTCTTGGAAGTCTGTCAAACTGATGGGATTTTTTTTTTTCCCTTTTGAGTGGAGAAATATGCTGTTTGGAGAGAAGAAATGAATATCCTTGAGTTCTTGGCTCCCTTCTTGGCGTGCATGGAGTACAAAGAATCAAGGCGGGTTTAGGTATTTTTGAGTAAATGCAAAAAATATTGAAGGGGATGTTTTCCTCCTGGGATTAAGGTACACACCAACACTCACTTCCATCCTGTCCCCAGGCACTACTGTATGAGACAGTCTTACAATGGTGTATGAGGTTTAGAGAGAAGTCATTGTAAATATGAACTAGAAAGCATGTGTTTTTATGTTTCTCTGGTTACCTCTTTGAGAAGTACTTAATGAAGCCAATTAAAATTTTTCAAAGGGAAAAAAACCAAGTCCCTTTTTCTCAGTGGAAATCAGTCCTTTTCTTGAAATCTCAGTGTCCAATTCTTCCAAAGAAACAGCCATATGAAAAATGCAGCCTTGGTCGGTCTTTTGAATTTCAGCAGACAAGGGGTTTCTTTCTATTTTTGCCCTTTCTCTCCATCCTCCCCCCAAACTTTGTTTTCCCTTGCCAAAGAGGGAAAGAAAAGGTGGAAAAACCAGCAAAATGTAAACCATTCTGGAAACAAAAAGTTACAAATAGAGAAGCTTTTTTCTTATGGTTGTTGTTAAGCCAGATTGCACGTTAAATAGTGATCCACTATTGAAGTGAATGACTTCAATAAACAAACAATAACAACTGTCCCCCGTGGACAGCCAGCCGGTCCTGTTCTTTTCTGAGGCCACACAAAGAAAAGAAATTTAAAACTTCGCTATTTTGGATGATGCATTGCACTCGTTTTTGGTTTGATCTCAAAGCCTCCAATTCTCCACTCCTTGAGAGCTGGCACAGCTACCAAGGTGTCTGGTGTAGGCAGTACATTATGTGATGAATCACAGGCACATGATTAGGGTTTATATTTAGGGTGTATTTAGGGTTTATAATTATACAGTTTATTATATGGTCATGGTAAGACTGGCGCATCGTTTCTCACTGGAAGGTAGGTAAAGTCCTGCTCCCTTCTCAGCACAAAGGTGTCAGTAATGAGGGCAGTGTCCAGAAAGAGTGTGCCTCTCCTCGTGAGAAGAGAAGAGCTTGCAACAAGTGCATCCTTCCCTCATCCTTCACGATAGCCATCTGCCCATTTAAGCTGCACAATGCAAACCTGTTGGAACGTGTCCAGAGGAGGGCCACGAAGATGATGAAAGAACTGGAGCCCCTCTCCTATGAAGACAGGCTGAGAGAGTTGGGGTTGTTCAGCCTGGAGAAGAGAAGGCTCCAGGGAGACCTCATAGCAGCCTTCCAATATCTAAATCCAAAATCCAAAATATCCAAAATCTACAGGAGAGATGGGGAGGGACTCTTTGTCAGGAAATGCAGTGACAGGACAAGGGGTAATGGTTTTAAATTGGAAGAGGGGAGATTTAGATTAGATACTAGGAAGAAATTCTTTAGTGTATGATTGGTGAAGCACTGGAACAGGCTGCCCAGGGAAACTGTGGATGCCCCATCCCTGGAAGTGTTCAAGGCCAGGCTGGATGAGGCTTTGAGCAACCTGGTCTAGTGGGAGGTGTCCCTGCCCATGTCGGGGGGGTTGGAATGAGATGATCTTTAAGGTCCCTTCCAACCCTAACCATTCTATGATTCTATGATTCTGTCAAACAGCAATATTCCCATCGCATCTCTGCAGGTCCCTGCCTGTCCTTCCAGCCCCTGTGAGTCCCGTGTCCATGGCACTACAGAAGTCAGCAGGGCAGAGGTGGCATACAGGAAACTAAGCTATATACAGAGGAAAATCATGCCAAAGTAAGGCTTGATAACATGGAAGAGCCAAGTGCAGTTTCAACTCCACTTTAATATTCGTTACTCTGTGCAGATTGCCACCATAGCCAATTCTTACCTTGCAGTAAGATCCAACCCAGGAAGTTACACAACTTGTCTGAGTTTAGGTTTAAAACTTGTGCATAATCAGCCCAGGTCCACAAACTGATCAGCTGCTGCTAAACCTACTAAACTCATTGCACGTATGATTATTTTCAGAATCAGACCTAGACTATGATCTACTTTGTACAAATATCCTGAAGAAAAATCATCGTCCTTGGCAGTTAACCTTTTATTTCAGTTCAAAAAATACTTCCTTTCAGCAGACTGTAGATTTGCAAACATCGATTCCCATCCTCTGGCCAGGAATGAGCAATCTGGCAGGCAGCTCTGCTCCTACCCTTCCTCCCTGACAAAGCAGACTTTAAGCAAAACACTGAAGCTCTGGGCACAGACAGTTTAGTGATTTCTTTATCAACCCGTGATGACTTTTTCCTGTAAAGCCAAAGCTGCATTCCATGCTATTTTGTAAGGTTTTCAGGAAGCTTGTTATCCAAGTGGAACAAATGCAGTCTGGCCCATTACATTTTCCTGGAGATTTTTGAAATTTTTGCAAACTGAAAAAAAAAAAAGGGTCAAGTTTAATAAATACAGTACTGTTGCTTTTGTACTTTCTCTGGGATTTATTTCCTTTGCAGTCAATTTGTATTCACTCTCTGCTCCTTTACACAAGATGCTTAGGGACATTTTGTAATTCAGCATAGCATAATGCTCTGTTTCCTCTTCGCAGAGATAATGAACTGCAGATGATGGTGCTGAGGGATGTTTGCTACCTGCAGGAGGGAAGTGATGCCCGGAGCTGATACTGCCACGCACTGCACAGTGAGGATGCAAACTGGCTCAGGTAGGGTCACTTCTGTTCCCATGTCATTAACAGAGGGGGAAAGAAATAGTATTTTTAATGATCTTATTAGATAGTTTGACTTAATAGGGATTTTAAAATTGAGTGATGAAGAGTGTGGGGTTTAATTATGGTTGTAGCTATATGTGCATAGACTCTCACAAGCAAATACTACTGCTTATAGACAACTGCACTCACCCAGGGCTTCCTCCCTGTATTTAAATGGCCTTTCCTTCTTCCATTTTCCCTGCTGTAAGCATGTGTCATCCATATCTTTTGGACTTTTGCTGACTTCTTGGCACTTGACTTCACTGGGTCATGAAGGTCAGTCCTCTCATCTACAACCGTTGTGTCCAAGCCCTTATGCAGGTCTGTCTGGGAAGCAGGGAGACTTCTTGTCTTCACTGCAGCTATTTGGATGCTGCTTCAGCACAAGGTTCCTCTAGCAGCGAGGAACAGGCTCGTGATTTCCAGAGTAAGGGTAGTTATGGGTAGTTTATACCCATTTGAGCTTTGTACTTGGCTCAAGCTGCTTTTTACTCTGCTACTGCATTTACAAAGGACAGTCATGTCTGTTCTCGGCTTTGGCTTTCTTTTGGTTGAAAAGCCAGACTTATCTAGTTTGGTGTCTTAAAATGCCTCCCCAGTAAACCCACAGTCAGCACCTGCTTTGCTTTCACTTAATCTGTTTCTTCAACATGAATGTGTCAGAGGAAAGCTGTATGCAGCAACCCTGTGATCTCTCCCCAGGACTGTCCTGTGTCTAGTGAGCACTACTCTTTATCTGTCTTTTTTTTGGAAATCCCTCTCCTGCACCATCCTGTGCCTGCCTTTTCCCCTCTTGTGGCCAGTTTGGCTTTGGAAGGTGAGCGGCAAGAGCTGGGTCAGAGCTCTGAGTCGTCATGCAACATGTATACACAGGTCTTCCACGCTCATTTTGAGCTGGGAGGACTCCTGATGACTGCAAAAGCCTGGTAACATGTCCCCATGTGCATGAGCTTGGCTTTTGTAAATTATTACACTTTGTTCTGATTCATTAGTCTGGCCCTCTAGGTGATTGGGTTTGACCCATTTGGCATCACAGGTGGTCTCTATGCTGATAATGCCCCCCAGCTTTTTTACATCAATAAATACTACCAGAAGTTCCCACTTTCTCTGCTAATGATCACATAGAATTGATGCTTAATCTCATTCCCAAGAAAGCTGCTTCAGTTCATTAGATTACTTCGGGGGATAATCCTTTGTCATCTCCCCAGGAATGTCCTCATCTGCTAACCATTTCTGTGCTGATTCCTATTTTCTTAGTTTTAGTTAATAATTCCCATGTGATACCATACAGATGTCCAGAGAGATTTGACTGACTTGTACTCTTCTGAAAGACATCCATTTTATCAAAAAATGATACCATGTTATTCAAGCATATTCCTGCTGCATCTTGTCCCAATTTCTAGTTTCCTTCCTAGCTGCAATAACCCTCTCCTTTCACATACCCCAAAGTCTTTCACAGGTCACTTTCCCCAGTCTCCTCTATCTTCCTGTACACTTGCCTGCTATTTCAGACTCCTGCTCCTGAGGAGCTGGGTTTAACAAAAATCTTGGCAGTGGCACTTCCTTCCCTGCCTGATTCTACCAAACTTGAATCCATCTGTGTCCTTCTGTGCCAACCTGTTCCTTCCAACAAGGCTGTGAAAGGTCGCTACTTTGTGGGAGAGCCTCCTCTCTTGCAAAGGCTGTGGTGGTGTGCAAGGCTGGTGTGCAAAGGCTGTGCAAGGGCTGGGCCTCCTCACACACTGGTGTGATGGTGAAAGAAGACATGTCAAAGGATGGGACTCAGAAGAACAGCCACTGTGGGTCTCATTTTTGTAGCTCTCAGTGTCCCATCAAGGGGACTACAGCTGAAATAAATACAGAAGTCCCTCACTGCATCTAGATGTTTAGCTAAGTTGCCTCCAAAGGTGGTGAGAGGTTTTCCACTGACTGTTCTGGACTTTGGATGAGATCTCTTATAGCAAGCATCTCTCTCTACAACTACTTGAAAGGACACTGTAGAGAGGTGCAGGTCTCATCTCCCAAGTAATTAGGGACAGAACAACAGGGAATGGCTTCAAGCTACAACAGGATAGGTTTAAACTGAACATTAGGAAAGAGTTTTTCACAGAAAGAGTGGTCAGAAACTGGAATAGGCTGCCCAGGGAGGTGGTTGAGTCACCATCTGTGGATGTGTTTAAGAGTTGTTTATATGTGGAGCTGGGCGATATGGTGTAGGGGAGAACTTTGTAGAGTAGGGCTGATGGTTGGACTCGATGATCCCGAGGGTCTTTTCCAATCTAAATGATTCTATGATTCTAAGAGTAAAGAAGATAGAGAATCTCCATTGAGGGGCACATATCTAAAAATCTGAAGTGCAAACGTAAAACATCTTACCATTGTATTAAGAGAGGTCATCTGAGTTATCAGGCTCAGTATTTGCTTTTCTGTTTCAGAGGTCTCTTTTTCAGTTGTTTTGGTCTGTTAAATCTTGCAATTTATCTTTACATTTTCAAGCTATAAACTCGTGACGTTACAGCAACATCAGAGCCAAAATTAATTTCCAGCCCAGTAAAAGTAAACTGATGTGTGATACAGACAACACACTGAGGTAAACACTTCAGTGTAAGGGTGTCACTTATATGATTCATGCTTTGAGCACTAACATAAACCAGGCTGTATGCAGTGTTAGCCAGGAACACAAGATGTCATTACACTGTTTTCTTTCATATTAAAACTTGAAAGAAAGTAAAAGACTTCAATCATCATCTTAACCACTGTTTTAGTGGAGTTATACATGCTTCTGACCTTGTTAGCTTACCTGATCTGCTCTGGTTTCTGGGGCCATGCTTTTCATTTAAGGACTGAGTTCAAGAGAGAATTGGGAGGCTCTTGGAGGGCAGTGGGACTGGTCTCAGCCTCTTGAAGAACTCAAGGAGGGAAGTGCTTGATGTCTGAGGTGTTCTGGAGCGAACTGACACCTCCTTCACTGAGGATATGGGTGCTTTGGATTTCACATTGCAAACACTCTCTTCATGAAAAGGTTGGAAAGAAGCAACCTTCCTGATTAATTCATGGGGGCTGTTGAGCAGGAATGAAAGGAACTAGTGACAGACCAGCTGCACAGGGATGGTAGCTGGCCTGAACTATCTGAAAATGTGGAAGGAAAACATTAATTTTTTTTTTTCACCTGCAGTTAAAAACACAGTGTTTCCTGATATATGTGGACTTTGTGAAAATTATTTTTCTGTGATCATTATAAAAAAACTCCCACTGGAATGGAAAAACTACATATAACAGAAAACAGCTGTTTTGGCATCTTTCAGTTGCAACAAAGTGCAGTGGGAAAATGCAGTTTGAAAACAGTAATTTGACAGGTAAATGGGTCAGACTTGAACCTTCTTGTTTTGGAAATCTTTGCCTTACTGTTCACAGTAGGCTCATAAATTAAAGTACTCTTTGCCACTCTTGATTGTCAATTTAATTGCAAGGAGGAGATAAAAAGCTGACAGGAATGCAGAAAAGTTGATAAACAACATCTATGGTGCACACACCCTTTCAAATATGCATTCAGAGGAATATGCCCTTCCTAAGTCATTCAAAATGGAAAGCTAGATTGTGCAGAATAAATAAAGTCCTTCACGCTGGGGTTAGTAGGTCAAACTTGTAAAAAAAACCAAAACTTTGCTACCTGCTGGAAATTCGGTGGCTGAACTTGCTGGTCACAGCATTACTGCCTTTTTAAAGATGCCTAACATAATGAAATTACACTTGAGTTCAATTAGTCTGTTATTAGTGATGACTGATCTCCATCCTCCTTCGCTGAAAGATGGCAGAACTCGGAGGAGTCTCACTGCTGGACCACCAGATGTGTAGGAGTTTCTGTTAAGTCTGCCCCTCCAGGAAAGCAGCTCAGCTTCCAGAGGGTCACCTGAGCTCACACATGGTCATGAGAACAATTTTTTTTTTACTCTGCCCAGACTCCTGGTGTTCCATTCCTGTGGATGTGGCTTGAACGTTTCACAATATTGATGTTTGATGAAGGTATTGCAATATCACAGGGTACCATAACACTTTTGAACTTTTTGGGTAAGGGATCAATGGCACCCAAGAGACTGATAGAGGCAGGTCAGGTCAGTGTCTCTCCGTTGAGCCCTGATTCCCAGATCAGATCTCATGATGGATGTGGGACAGCTTGTGGAGGAAGCTGGTGGCAGAGAGACTTCTCTCTTAATCCCCTAGGCTTCAGCTCCGTAATCTAGTTAAATCCCCTTCCCCTTCCTGGGACCACATGTGCAACGGCATTGCTGAGCAGCCACACACTGAGCACTGTCCTACCTCAGGGAAAAGGGAGACAGGGTAGAAGTCCTATGAGAACAGATGTTGCAAGGTACAAGAAAACTGAGTTGTGAAAGGTGGTATTAATCCTGTTCGGATTGCAATTTATTATTCCAGATACCATGAAAGTATCAACAGCAATTAATTTCATTCTTGTATACATTTGGGAGGGCTGTCCTGTAGGGGTAAGGGCATATTGCTTGGGATGATTATGGATGAGGTGGCACTTGTGAGTAAGTTACTATTATTCTCTTGCTTAGTATTCCCTTGGAAACAAACAAACTCCCCAAACAAACTAAACCTAAATAAAATACTCACAAGCGGATCACAAGCGGATGGATGTGTGTCTCCAGAAAAAAAAAAAAAAAGAAGTGAGGAAACACTGATGTTTCATCCCTTTTTAACAGAAACTCCCACTAGCTCCAAGGGGATTATATGCTTTTAATCTAAGTCACAATAATAAATGAGGGAGCGTATTATATCCAAGATGTGGTGAAACATCATGATGTGGTCTTTAGACTGATGGGGTCAAAGTTTTCCATGGCTAGAGGGAAGGCAGCTGTAAGTCACTGAATGAGACAGGCACAGTAAACGGCATCGCACAGCGGGGCCTCCAGCTGTGTGTGGAGCAGTGCGAT